CTTTTTATCACTATCCAGAGGCATCACTATCTAGATTTGCACCACATTGCAATATTGTTTAAGGTACAGTGTATTGTGAGAACCGCCATCTCTAGCAACCCCTTATTAGATCTCAACCCCTAAATTAATCGAGTACAAATCAGGGCTGAAAGCGATCGTGATCTAGATGCATCGCTTGGCTGCGCGATTGCCTAGTAAAAAGTAGGCATTCTGCTCCAAACGCGGCTATATCAACTTGGCTTTCATAAAACGATCGCCTAATCTGCACATCCACTCACATATGCATCGCAGGACGGGCACGGAGTGTGGCGGTGGCAGCTGGATGGTGGAGGAGGTGAGCCAGTGGGCTGGAGGCACCGGTCGCTGGTGGTATCCTGCCACTTCAAGGCCAGAAGTCGGCCATACAAAGATCGAGGGAGGGCAGACACGGAGGAGAGCAAGAAACAAGGAGTATGCAGAAAGGAGAGGCGACGACAGAGTGAGTGGCTTGCGGCTGAGAGACAGCAAGATAGGTTAGAAAGGGCTCTCTCGTAGGTAGGGGGTAGGAGGCTTCGTAACGGGGGGTAAAGAGCGTGCAGCTAGCCGCTCGACCCTCAGTTGAGATTGTTCCCAGTTGGTGATCAGTTAAGATTTAATACAGCAAGAGAGTGGCGCCGTACGCGGGTTCCAGTAAAGCTAATGTGAGGCAGAGATTAGGGTGATCGGTGTATGATGAGGGCGTAACACAGTAGGGTGGTGGGGACTGTGGCTAGAGACCACAGAGATCGTGGCAGAAAGTGCGAAGCCTGTCATCATCGTAAGAGCAAATGAGTTCGGTCGCCGCACTCGGGATTGAGGTCTTGAGCTCGAAGTAGATAGAGAAATACGGATTACCACAGCCCAAAAAACCTATCCGGGGGTGACGGTCGCCGATAATGTGTCCTCCCCACCGTTCCTATCCGAAGGACGTCTGGTCCGACGGCCAGTAGCTGTCTGGCAGTGTTGACGTATCTGCCTCGCACTTCGATCTCTCTCGTTCCTTCCATCGGGCTACCTAGGCGGACGCACTACTCTCTCTCGCTGCTGAACCAGCCGACGTGCAGTGGATTTGGCCTGGTGGTTGGGGAACTAGCTACATCCCCATAGTTAACGGTCTCTAGATAGTGATAAAGCCCAATCTTGTATCACTAAGAACTATCCGTAGGTTAGAGGATGCTTTGACTAGATGTTCGTAAAGTATGCCGGCATAGTTCAACCAAAATGTGGTCGCTTGCGACCTTGAATGGATTGAGATTCCCCGAGGTTCGAGCCCATATTATTTTAGCATGTATTGTGCATGTCACTTATTTTTGCAGGTGAGCTGTTATTAATAATTCAGGCGGAATTAGAGTCATAAAAGGGCGATCAACGCATATTTATTTAATAGTGCTAATTAAGCCTAAGATTATGAGCGCTTCCCCTACCACCTGCGATCAGCATCTGAGAGCCAACCGACGGAGATACGAGCAGAATGGCATGAATTGGCGGGTAGGAACCTGCCAATCGCTCTGTTTCTGCCTACGGTCATCTCCACCGATGTTGGTGTTTTTTGGGCAAAGCAAACGGCAAAGCCTACGGGTTTGCCTAGATTTTCTGTACTTTTCCTACATATTTCGACGACAGCAACACCAGTCACCTACACAACTCCAGCAACAAAAACTCCACCAAAAGTGCTGCCCGACCCCGGGACAGCACATAGCAAGCCATTTTGAGCCCCACACACCAAACTGTGATGATTAACAGCATTCTCCATGTATATCATAGTCTAGGGAAAGTGGTAAGACACAGCAGCACTACAGAACTTGCGCTACAAGGGCGCTATTGCCGCGAACGTGGCGCTCTACGTCTTCCGCCGGACCAGTGATCGTTAGTGTGTTTGCACACCATTTTGCATAAATGATCCTCTTGGCGCTTTGCCACCAACAAAAAGTCCAGCAATTATGTCGGTGGTTTTGTCCAGATTGGCCCCAACAAGAATTGCCAACGAATTGCCAAAATTTTGTTGACCCGGTGTAAAACCTATTGAACCTTTTCTCGCAAAAGTTTTGACAAAAATCGTTACCGTATAGCAATTGTCGTATCCAGCAGTCAAATACTAAGTACGAAGTCTACCTCGCAAACATGATAATCACAAACGAGAACGTAAATGAAAGGATACATAGGAGAATTTTGATATTGTAGCGCGTTGCCTTGCTTGAATATTGCTCCACGGCCACCTCCCATCGTCTGTTATGAAAAACAGCGCTTCCTACCATGTTGCTATGGATACTAGCTGCGAATTAATGAGCACCAGATTGGTGTCGGATGCAACAATTGCATTTGGAGTGATTATGTACTGATCAAATACTGGATTCTGATTGGATATATTCCACTGTCGGATATGACATTTTGCTGGATACGACATTTCCTATTCGGTATTGCCAAAAAGTTGTTGACCGGTGTAGATGCTCTAACGCAGGCTTGATTAGCTTATTCCGAGCATGCGCAAGAAGGCCTCGTGGAATGGCCTAATAGAAGGGGAGACGCGCAGGTTCTGCTGGCAGACCCGGAAAAACAGCAAAAGAAGACGTAAGTAGTGAGATTCGGCCGAGGCGTCAGTAGGGTTGTTAGGACTCGGAAGTTATCCAGTTGTCCAATATACCTCATCATCATCTAGATTAGCTTATTCCGTCTTGACTCGACCTCACTGTCGCCGCTCCTAATTCGGCCACGGAGGGACGACCCGGAATTAACATGGGATGTAGCTAACTCGGGGCATAATTAAGGTCGATAAGGGATTAGAGTGATGCCAGAATTATCACGGCAGAATAAGTGAAAGGCACAATAGCTTATGCTATCGAATGTACATGCAGCAAAAGTGCACAGTGTGAAAACGTGCATTGTCGTGGTATGACTGACTGACTGATTTGAGTTCTATTACGATTGGACTTCGTCTTTCTGCGAGTCAAACTTTAGTACGAAGGGGCTTAGGGTTATGTGGTGTCCATTACGTCCGTTGGGGTACGGCCAGATCTATGCCTGCCAGGTTAGCAGGCAGTCGACCAGCAGACGCGGATACAAGAGACTCGAGGACCTGGCGAAGCAACTCGAAGTCGATCTTGAGCTTGCGGTGGCGCCGACGCAGCGAACGCAGATGAGCGATAAAGAGCGGCCGAACTCCTGCTGCGACCGCCCGAACTGCCAAAGCTGGACGGTCGAAAGCGACACGGTTGCGGTTAAGCCACACTGCGCGTATGAAGGTACCGCGAAGGATCAGCCAAAAGCTGTAGATGATCGTGGAGAATCTCCTCGTCACCCAGGAGGAAGTCGTGCCGGGAAGGCGAGCGCTGCAGTAGTAAACTCCATCGCGGCGGCAGTAGCGACCACGGTTGCCGCACCATGGAGCACCGCCAAAAGCAGTGCTCAATACTTTCAACGTGATGGCAGCTTGGTTGGGGACAAAGGGTGGGGTCATGACGTCCGCATTGGAGGAAAAATCGCTTGGCATTCACCGGAAGGAGTTCGTGGAGGACGCGGAATTGGACGTCGTAGCAGGATGGAATGGACAGACGGCGGCTTCGGAAGAGGAGGTTCGAGTGGTCTTCCAATGTGGCAGTGACGCATTTCAGTGTTGAGGCGCGAGCAGGTCAAATCGAGGTGGATGGACGAAGCACCGAAGTGCAGTCGTCCTTACGGAGGTGTGGGAAGAAGCGGAAGCGTGTCGATCCTGCAATCCCCAACAAGTTGGCGTCGGGGCTGGGAGGGTCGAGATAGCCGACGTACAGCACCCAGACTTCCACAGTGGTCCCCCACCCGAGTACTACCCGAGCTTGAGGCTGCTTAACTTCGCAGAGATATTTAATAACCTTCCCTTTTGGGTGGTGTAACCCATGTCAATGTGTGCTGCAGGGTTCTGTTCATTACACTATCGACCCCGCGCTACCCTGGCTAAAAGTCCTACGCCCTGGGGGACTCGAACGCTCATCCTCCCAGTCCCCGATGTGCGGCTCTTACCACTACACCGATTGGGATCGGTTCTGCTTAACTTCGCAGAGATTTAAGCCACCGGAACCCGTACACCATGACTGGGGCCGTCTATGGCGTAGCATGCTGGTAGCTATCCGACCCCCGGGGGGGACCGGGTTCCGTACCCCTCATTACACTATGGGGCTTTTTTATGCACGAGGCCTCCAGCTCACTCAACTATCCACCACCACATTGGGTGCGGGTTGGCAGAGCACACCGTCCTATAGTGGGTTACGGCTGCACGTCCGCTTATGCAAATCTCCGGCTTCAGGTGAAAGTCCGCGCTCGGCGGTATCGATACCTGTGCCTCCCGGTCTCAGCGTCAGGGTGACACCACTGGCCCGCTGAGGTCGGTTCGGCTTAACTTCGCAGAGCAGACGGGATACGGTGCTTTCGGTCCAAGATGGCCGTCTACTTGCCGTGGTTGGTTGGTTGGTATTGCGGTTGTTCCCTTTCCTTTTACCGGGCCGCTTTGCCATTGATTTTGGTTAGTGCGTGTTTGGTTTGCTACTAGCTGATTGGGTGATTGGGTGATCAAACTACTGCAAATAACTTCCGCCGGGAGAGATGTGCGCTTGATTGGTCGAAAACGGATCGTAATAGAACTCATCCTGCTTATCAAATCCCCGGGTCCCTGGGGATTTGTAAGACTCACAAGAAAGTATTGTCCCTTGCGGGACTTGAACCCGCGACCACGAGATCGACGGGCGGTGCTTTTACTACTACACGAGGGGGGGGCTTTTGTTTTTTAGGTGTGGTAATGATCCTTCCGCAGGGTTTACCCTAGCCCCTTGTCGTGTTACTTGACTTGACTTGAAATGAGTTCAATTACGGGTGGACCTCGTTTGATGCTGATTTGACTAAGTACGGAAATATGCAACTTAACGATGGGCGACCCAGGGCGGCACTCTGGGGCGTGGAGTATCAGCGCAGCGGCTCGTCATCCTCAGGGCCGGAGACAAGGTGCTGGATGAAGGAGTACATAGTGGCTGTGTCGACCTTGATCCTGTGGCGTCGACGGTCAAGCGAGCGCAAATGGACAACGAAAGAGGACTTGACGCCGGCAGCAATGGCCTTGGGGCTAGCTGCTTCCCGACCGAAAGCGTCGTTGGTTCGGTTGATCCAGGTGGATCGCATGCAAATGCCGCGGAGTATCAGCCACAAGCCGTATGCCAGTTTGTGGTGCGCTGCCCAGCTCGAGTGAAGCAGCTCCGAGGTCCCGAGGAGAAAGCCCAACCAGGAAGGCGTGCAACGGAGTAGCGGGGACCATATTGGACGTAGTGCAGACCACGTCTGCTGAGTTGGTGAGCAGAGCCAAAAGCAGTGGGCCAGACTCTCGCGCTGGTAGCAATCTTGTCTGGGGCAGGTGGTCGGGTCGCGGCGTCCGGTTTGGAGAAAGAAACGCTTGATGTTCACGTGCATCAGCTCATGGAGCACCCGAAACTGGATGTCGTAGGTAGGCAGCATCCATCGCTTGACTAGCGCCAGTCGGTTGGAGTGACCATTGAGCGCGCTAACTTCACAATGAAGGCGTTTGGCTCGAGACTCCCATGCCGAGGTCGGAGGACGGAGGAGCGCGGTCCAATCTTGCTTGCGGAGATGAGGAAAGAACCGAACGCGTGATTGTGTCGTGACGCCGAGTAGACCGGCGACTGAGTCTGGACGTTGGAGAACGACGAGTAGACCACCGCTGCTGGTTGTAATGGCGTGGATCACCACGGACAGTCTCTGAAAGACTCTCATCAACAAAGCGTGGGTGCAGCGGGGCTGCCGTAGCTTTGCGTCAGAGGAAGCTTAACAGACTCGCAGAGTCTCAGCTTAAGATCGCCCGTTCTAATACCAGAACGTACGAGTTCGTACACCCTACGGACTCCAAGAGTCAACCCTAGACTCTTCAGTGTAAATCTCAAACTGAATGTATTTCCCTTTATTGCGGCAAAGCCGCCTATGATGTAAATGTATCCGGTTCACTATCTAGTAGTGAACCCTAGTCATATGCATAATCAGTGGCTCTGAAGCCATGTACTGATTCTCCTACTGATTTAGGTTAGACAGTGTGTACCTACTTCGTAACCCTTCGGGTAACTCTCGTGTAACCCCGTTACACCGTCCCCCACCAAACCGTGGACACGGGTGTTCACGCTTAACGGTCAACCGCCGGGTGTTGTTCCGTCAAGCCTCCTTCTCGAACGAGTCAATTTACATCGCGTGGACGTCTCTGAGAACTTCTCGGCGCAACGCGCCCTCACATGACTTCAAGTCATAAAGCCTTTTGGTCTTTCGACCACAGACAGCCTCTCGCGAGATCTGCCTCGGAGCCTCGCTCCTCTTGTGCCTCTGCACGTCCGCGAACGTCAGCGCCCACGCGCACACCCACGACGCCTTCCAGGCTCTCGGTATCTGAGTACTTCGCGGCGCACCGCCAGGAGCACAGCTCGCAGCGCGCAAGCCCCAGCTCCCCTCGAGCATCAACCCACCAGATCATGGATCCTAGGGAACTCTTTGGTGAAGAGGGCGAGGTGGACGAGTCCATGCTGGGTTCTCCGAACCGAGGAGATGTGTCCCCAGCCACGCGACGCTCCCCGAGCCGCGGCGACGCTTCGCCCACGCCGTCGATACGCCGTGAAGAAGGCTTGCCGGCCCCAGTTGGCTCTCTGAGCCGTGGCGACCAAGAGCGCCCCGCGCGCACGTCTCCTGTGCGCTCGCCGAGCCGTCCACCTGCAGAGCGCGCTGCGCCGTCGAGGGAGCAGCCACGGCTACCGTTGCGAACTCCAAACCCGTTCTCTGAACGCTCTTCCGGTCTCTACGAGCTGCGCGCGCTCACTGAGCCACGGTATTCGTCGCCTCGTGGTAAGGACGTGCCCCTGGGTCCCGTCATCTCCAACCCTTTGGACGAAGCTCAGTCCGAGCGGGTTGCGGCGCAGATGGCTCCTATGCGCTCCCAGCGCCCCGAGCTGCGGCCTCTGCTGAACCCCAGCACTACCGACTACGGCTTCCGGCCTCGCGACTCCGCGGAGGCTTGTCGCCAGGCGTTCCAGCAGTCTCTCGCGCTGCACGCCATTGGGCCCGCGGCCCATACTCCGGAGGAGCTCGCACTGCGTACATCTCTGCGAGAGCGACTCCTCACTCCACAGTCTACGACTGTCGCGGAGAATCGCGAGAGGCTGCGGCTGGAAGCCCAGCAGAAGTCCGTGCCCGCCATGCGGACGTACCCGGTGGTACTTAGCCCGGGGGACGACTCAATTGAGTACGAAGCTCAGTTCGAGTCTTGGGCCGAGCACAGTCGAAAGCTCAGCTCCATGGATGCTCTCCGAGCCAGCTTCAGTGAAGTGGATGTTCGCATTGAACGCAAGCTCCGCTTCGATTTCGCGAAGGTCCGAGCCAAGCGCAGCCTCTCGGCACTCGCCCAGCCGCAGACCCAGTTTAGCACTGCGCACTTCGCTCCTTCGAGTACTCCAGCCGCTCCTTCCCGCGAGGGAGTGAGCGCTGTGGCTCAGGGTCAGCCTCGGAGCAATGTGGCTGACCCAGCAGCTCCCCAGCTTATTGCCGGGAAGCGCGGGACGACCGGCGTGCCGGCCTTGAGCCCTCGGGGCGCTGGTGATCAAGCCGATCAAAAGCGTCCACGACGTCTGGGCAATCCTGGCGGAGAGGCACCTCAAACTCCCATGAGTTCTCGGAGTGAGGGTACCCTCGCCATTTCACCAGATACTGGTTTTGACCCCGGCACCGCCGCTTCGCCAGGAGGCGCTCCACATGGTAATGCAGATTCCCATGCTCATCGAGCAGCGCCGGTGGAGGACGCGCCAAGCCGCCTCGCGACGTTCGACTAGTTGCACGAGACTCGGCAACAGGCGGATCGCCTTCGGGACCACGTCTACGACATCGACGCGCGTCTGGCACGTTGTGCGACTGATCCCGACAGGCTCGCTGAGCGGCTGGAGTGGCTAGGGGTTCCTCAGGAGGTCTGGGACCGACTTGGGACCTTGGAGAACGACTTCGTTCACTTGAACGGGTGGGTGGACTACTTTCGCGATCGCGAAGAGCGACACGCTCGAGAGTTCGCGGAGCTACAGCGGCACCCGGCTGTGCTCCAGGGTCAGCTCGAACTCCTGGCCCGCATGCAGGCCTCGCCTGCTGCGCCTCCTGCGCTTGCGGCTTCTGCAGTGCCCGCGGCACCCCCGCCTGTGCCTGTGGAGCCCGCGTTGATGGTCGCGTCTTCGACGCCGGCGACTGCGTCCTCAACGACCGCGACCTCCGCACCTGTGACCTCGTCACCCTCGGTGCCTCCATCTGCACCTGCATTGGGTCCTGGTACGGCTTGAGCAAGCCCACGTAGAAGACGGGGTGCGTCCGCATCTTCTTCGGAAGATTGAGTGTGTACGCAAGGCCCTTCTTGGCCACAACCTTGAAAGGTCCGATGAAGCGCGGGCGCAACTTCGTCTTGAAGACGGCTGAAACTGCATGTGTAGGTAGGTTCTTAGCGTTAAGCAGCACCAGGTCCCCGACCTCATAACTTTCAACATTGCCTCTGCCTCTGGCATCTGCATGTTCCTTTTGCTTGTCTTGGCTTTCAGCCGTTGGGTCACGCGCATGTCGTAAGACACTCAGACGCGTCGACAAGAAAGCGTCAACCTGTTTACGAACAGTAGCCGGGCTGACATCGGCTAGCCGATCAGCTAAATCGGATTCCCCTCCCCCACCAAGCCCGAGGCCACCACGTGGCGGTGTCAGCGGGACGCGGGGGTGAGACAAGCTGTTCACGTAGAACGGCGTGCAGCCTGTCGAGGTGTGCACGGCGTTGTTCAACGCAAACTCAACGAGTGGCAGCATGGCGCTCCAGCGCTTCGGCGTCTCAGCGCAAATGCTGTGGAGCACGTCCTCGACGACGCGATTTACGCGCTCTGTCTGACCATCGGTCTGCGGATGGTCCGCCGTGGACATGTCCAGCTTGGTGCCAAGCACCGCAAAGACCGTGCTCCAGAAGTTACCCGTGAAGCGGGGGTCTCGGTCCGAAACAATCGACTCAGGGAGTCCGTGTTGTCGAAACACTCGGTCCAAGAACAGCGTTGCTGTACCTTTACCATCGATGGTATCCGGCACAGCCGCAATGTGAGCCATCTTGCTCAGTCGGTCCACGTAGACCACGACTCCAGTGTTGCCCGCCGCAGGCCAAACACAAAGTCCATACTCATGGATTGCCAACAGCCCAAAGGGATAGGCAAACTCGCCAACGGCGCTGTGACGACTTCACTCGCTGACACGTCTCGCAAGTGCGCACATAAGTGCTCGTCCACTTGTACAGCTTCGGACACCAGTAGTGGGTGCTCATCGAGCTGTAGATCTTCTCACGGCCAAGATGGCCGGCCAGTGGCGTGTCGTGTGCCTCATAGAGGATGCGGTACTTCAGATACTCATCATGAGGGATGACCACGCGGGGCGTATCCTCGGGGCCCGTGTTGTAGAACAACAGGCCACCATCGAAGGAATAACGGTGCAGACGCGCTGACAATTCTATGTCCGAGCCTTGAAACTCCTTGCTCCCCAGAGCCTTCAGCAACGCGACACAGATGTCGTCCTTGGCATAAGCCGTTCGGATCAAATCCGGTAATGACGACGTCACTGTCGTTACATGAGCCAGATCGTAATCCGGCCTGCGCGACAGCGCGTCTGCAAGGACATTCTGCCTGCCAGGCTTGTACTTTACCTCGAAGTTGTACTCCGCGAAGAAGGACAGCCAGCGGGTTATCCTTTGCGAGAGATGCGACTGAGTCGCAGTGCGTAACGCCGCATGATCCGTGTAAATCACGAACGGCTGAGAGCCCAACAGGTGAACCCTGAACTTGACGAGCGCATACTTCATTGCAAGTAGTTTTCCGCAGCCTTTAGCTGGCGAGATTCGAACGCCACCTCGCGCTCGCGCCCCTCGGCGTCTGCTTGCAGCAGGGCACAGCCGATGGCAAAGTCCGAGGCGTCACAGACAACACTAAACGGACGAGCGGGGTTTGGCAAAGCCAGAATAGTCGCATGAATGAAGGAGACTGTCCTTAATAGCCGCGAACGCATCTTGATGCTCGGTGTCCCAACACCACTCCGCATCCTTCTTCAGGAGATTGGAGAGTGGCCGAGCCATCTCAGCGTAGTTCTCGCTGTACTTGTGCAAGTAATTGGCCAAGCCAAGCCACTTGCGAAGATCCTTCTGGTTCTTGGGAACCGGTCAGTCAACAATGGCTTTGACCTTGACCGGGTCGGCTCTCAGGCCACGCTTCCCAATGAAGCACCCTAAGAAGGGGATCTCTTCCGCTCCGAAGATGCATTTGTCAATGTTGGCGTACAACTTGTTTTGACGCATGCATTTGAGCACAGCACGCAGGTGCTCCACATGCTTCTCCATATCAGTATTTCCGTGCTCAGCACGACTGTGGACAAAGATGTCATCGAAGTACGTTTGCGCGTACGCCCGATGGTGCCTGAAGAGCTGCGTCACAAGACGCTTAAACGTCGCTGGCGCGTTTGAAAGCCCTTGGGGCATCACCAACCACTCCCAGAGCATGCCGCTCGGGCTACTCACCGCAGTGAGAGGAATGTCGCTCGTCTGCATGAGCAATTGGTAATATCCATCGACCAAGTCGAGCGCACTGTACATCGTACATCCTGTCATGTTGTTCTGAAGAACATCCTTCCGAGGAATCTGCGCCGGAATGGTAGCGGCATTCAGCTTGTTGAAAGCACGCACGATACGCCAC